CATTTGGGAGATTACATTGTTGCTCCTGCATTTGTGCAAATGATTTGCCACTTAAAAATGATTGCATGGGAACATGTACAAACAGAACAATTGTAACCTTATCACATGATCTGAATTGGAAGGTAACAAGGCCTTTTAAACACGTTTGCCGAATCCGTCTATCTGTTAACAGAAGAATAAGAGAGTCTGGTACACAACTTGGACGTAATCGACTTGGATGTCTGAATTAAATGAGAATTGCAACTAATCAAGAACGAGGCATATGCATGGCAATAGATGCCATTCTTAAATAAGTTGATCCGGTCCGAGTTTTGTACCTGTCCGAAGTAGAAGTCTAGGAACGGCAAGGCCGAAATTCCGACGGAATACGAAATTACTGTTGCCAAGTCTAACTATTCTTTAATCTTACAGTTTTCGTAAAGAATTTAGAAACATAAGATGGCTTTGTAATTTGGGAAGACTTAGAACAAGGCAATATGAGATGTAGCAGACTGCCTGGTGATTTTAGCAAACATGACGAACTTGACTATTTACTTTTTAGTAGAACAATGGGTTTTTTTGTTTTTGTTTTTGTTTTTTTGTTTTTGTTTTTTTTTTTTGTACTTCTAAGGCATTCAGGGAACAGTTTCGGTAATTTGAGGTAAAAAGGGGATCATGTTTTTGCTATGTACTATTAACTAAGGGATTTGCCACGTTCCCAATTCTCCTATAAACTTTTTCCGTACTGTCCTGGTAACGAGTATGGAGAGCTCGCGTGGCAACCTGGGTAAAGTTTTTCCCGCCAACTTGGAATACTTCATAAATGGCCGCTCTGACCGCAGCGCAGAGGCTCTGCTATAGTATATGGGAAGAAGCGAACTGACCAAAGGAAGATGACTGAGGGACAGTCGAGTTTAGTGTTGGGGAACAATGAAGAGAATTGTCAGAAATTGAGAACAAAGTAACATGTCTCCCCCCAGTCCCAGAGGCACACAATATAATCGCTATTCGCAGCAGAAGTTTTAATTGGATCAACCCTTCGCGAGAAAATAATTAAGAGGCGCCCTCTGTAATTTTCAACTATGGCCATTTGGACCAGAAAAA